CCATTCACGCAATGTCCGCACCCACCGACGGAAAAGGGCCGAAAACTTCATCTAGACAATAGAATTTGACCCCGCCACAGGCCGTCATGGCGAAGCTGTGACATGTGTAGATCTCGCTCTCCCGTTTCCGAAATGGTATTATGGGCTGAAATCGGACACCTGTAGCAAAAGTTATGGCCAAAACGGTTTCTGCCGACAAAACCGGCCACGGTGAATGCTGAAACCCTAGCCGCCGCCTCCAGATTGATCATCTTCATCACGTTCGACTTTGAACACAAAATTACAGCAAAAAATCGAACAACAACAGCCCTACTACAGTCTACAAAATCGCCTATACTACCCACACTTATTATCTGGTGGGGAAAACGATTACAACAAACAACAAGGGCTGCGATAGACAGCATAAACGAGATAAACATTCATACATACCATGAACATGACTGAAAACTAATAAATGAATAAATGAAATCAACTACATGTTCCAGGCAGAGCCGAAAATCTATGAAACCGAGTCTCTGATACCAATTGCTGGAACACGCCGACGAGGCGGTCCTACCCACGGATCGATATCGGATACCAAACATGTACATACATGATTTCGAATAAACCTAAGCATGCTCCTAAAGGAAGAACAGAGATATACCTTTCTTCAAGGCTTCGATTCGATCTGAGCGATCTTCTAGTCTTTGTTCCCACCACGTTTGGACGTCGGATGGACGACGATCCTCCAAACGGTTGAAAGGAGCGGATTGCCTTTGTTCTTCTCTGAACCCCTCACTTTTCCTTCTTCCTTCTCCCACGTTGGTGTGGTGGCTGAAGACGTGAACTGATCTCTTAGGGTTCAAGAACGTGTGCTTATCCCTCCTTTTATAGATTCCTTGGGCCAGACTAGGGATCTCTTAGAAGGTATAGGGTTTGGGCTCCCTACAGGCCCAAATTCTTATGTTCTGCCCAGAACACAATTTGGCCTATAAATATTAATTCACTCCACTAGAGAATTAATATTGCACTCCCGTCCTATCCCAAAATGAATCAGGGCTTCTATTAGACTCAATATAATTCCCCATGTTTAAGATATCGCATGTCCATTAATTATTATAGCTTCTGACTTCTTTAATTAATTAATATCTTTTATTCCTTAAGTAGTACCAATCAACCTTATTATCGTACGGATAAAATCCACCTGCAGGGTTTATACGATAATCCTTATGAGTTCCTTAAGGGGACGTCATCAACCTGGATGTCTAGGACACGGTTTTCTAATGCCAATAAATAGATATCATGCAGATAATGTTGTTACCCAAGATACAGAGCATACTGAACCAATACTTGGCTCTCACCCATGGTAAATCAAAGTAACCAACAAATATCCCACATATCTAAATATCACAATTAGGGTTAAGAATTAGTAGAGTCACCGAGACCTAGGTTCTTCATGATAGTCAGAACAGAAGAACACGTCTCAACTGTGATCCATTCAATGCGACGCAGCGCACTAGTATAAACCAATAGCCATAACAAGCTATATCCAGTTTATACTACAACCTAAACCGATAGTCATGTCCATAACTATCTCAGTTGTGAATACCATTTATATCTTATAAGGGACCGACAATGTAATCTTCTGTGTGACTACTAACATACCACATTGTCTACAATATAAGATAATTGGACATTTAGCATACAAGCAATCATAAAGAATGCAACAATGTGAAAACATTTATTTCAGTCAAATGGGAAATCGAATAAATACAATCCAAAAGCTCACATAAAAGTTTGCTTTACTGTATACCCCAACAAGGTGATCTTTCTGTTTGAAACTCTTCGAACCACACTATCTCAATATAAGACATGGAGTATGATTGCATAAATAAATAAATTGCAAGCATATGTACTTTGACCGAAACATGATGGCCAGATCAAAATGGAATTGATAGAATCTGTAAATAGGAGCTTTTACAGCATACCTCTAACAATCTCCCACTTATGCTTAATAAGCTCATGGCTATTGCTAACCACGATTCTCTTTCAATCTCAATTCTCAAAGAATTGTTGCCCTTTCTACCATACATCTGACTCCCAATCCTTTAACATGGACATTATCCGCTTTCGCTGGAAAGCCAATCCTAAAAGGATTTACCTGGTTGTCTACCGATATAACTAGGCGACAAACATCCACCATGTCGCAGTTCTTTGCAACGGGCGTACTTGCTCTATGTGTCACTTGCTTTATGAACTAGTGATTCCTGTCTGTCTGTAACTGCACCAACTGTCATCACAATCAAATTGTGATCTGACTTGGCTAGACGAGGTTTCACATTTTTAGTTCAATGGCGAATCCAATCTCTACGTCGCTCGCCATTTGGGAAGGGACGTACTGAGTTCATAGTGGAATCCGTCAACGTATCACCGCTTGACATTCCTCTAATCTCCTTGGTTCCCACAAGTGAACACAAACCATAAGGTGGTTTTTACTTGTTGTTCATGTCTGATTAGAAATCAGAATCCTTTGTAATCCAAAGGTTGCTTACGGTTCATTTGGTAACCTTACATATTGTCCTTAGCCCTTTTACGGCGCTTGATCTTATGTCCTACCATGGACCATTGCTCCCATCTAGGATTACTTCGATATTTACTAACCATGCAAATAAATATCAGGCCTCATCTATTGCATATACTAGGCTTCCGCTTGCCATGCATAAGGACTGCCTCTGTATCATGCAAATCAAATGAGCCTTATGATAGTCTGTACATGAAAATTGGGATAATCGCAACATATCTTTCTTGTGATCCTCAGTCTCAAGAATATTTGTTGATTCTGAATCTTTCATGTACCACTACTTGGATAATCATTCCCTTGCGTTTGTCAACGTTTTCACACTGTCTCCAGTGATCAAGATGTTGTCTACGCGTAGTACAAAAATACCACCACGCTTCTATTGCGCCACACACAATGCTCATTTGGTGAATAATCAAATCCAGGATTC